AATTTTCCCTCGCCGTTCCTCTATGTTTCCGCTTTGGGTTCCGGTATTCCTCTTTATGGGCCGTCGGGAAGACTCCTACGAGGGCACCTCTTTGCGATTCCTCCCAAAAATCCGCCAGATCGATTGTTTGATCGATGGTGGGATTTTGGTGTATCCGGATCTGCGGGGCTCGAGGCAGGATGTCTCCCGCGCCTTTCGTTCCCGGGGCTCTCTCGCCTCTCGCGAGAGAGTGGCCATCCCCGTCTCGGGCCGGAATCTCTGCGGAAGAAGGAACATTTTACGGCGGTACCCAGGTTCTTAACGGGATGGGCAAGCCAGAATTTTGGTGCGAAAATAATATTTACCGGGCGTGATCCGGACTTGGTGGCTCCTGCTCGGTCCTCAATCGTCCTCTTCGGCCTCTCCGTCCTCTCACTCTTTCTCTCTATTGGTTTCCTCGGTTGAGACACGTACCCTATGCAAAATTGCTCGCCGAAAACGCCAAAAATCGCTCAAACAAAAATCATACAAAAAGTAATTCGCGAAACGGATGCGCGAAGCGCATCCTCCGACGCGGTAGAAAACGCAAAATGATTGTTCGGGTGCTCTCTCTCTCTCAAAGATTGGCGAGAGAGCAAAGGTTCCCGAATTTCCCGCCTTCCCGGCCGGGCCTTCGGCCCTTGTGACGGACAGTACAAATGTCACGTCACAATATATATATATATATATATATATAAAAATTTGCATTTTAGAATATTGCAGTGTTACGTCTTGAAATATTATTTAATTAATATCGGTAGTATCAGTATTCATAATAATAAATAAATATTGTTATAAACTAATGATGCAGAATGTAGTAAATCGGTTTAAAGGGAAGAATAAAAAACGTCAGATTTTCGATTATTTCTATTTTCACGCGCGATTAATGATGAAAATGATATTTATTATTGTAGTTTTTATTTCTATTCATTTTTTAGACTTTATAGGATATCTTTGTCTTCTATCGGGTTACTTCTAGCTAAGTATTATGAGCTTTAATATGTGGCGGACATTCAGGTAAATAACCAAATATTTTATATTTTACTTTAGTTCTTAGCTCCTGATTTTAATTTGTTTTTACATAATTGTTTTATAGTATGAAGTATATCAAAAATTTGTCAAGATAACGTAAATTTTCTGGAATTAGAAATGGCATATATTAGATAATAAACATTATATATTTAATTTATAAAATATTTATAAAATATTACAACAAAATCTAATTCACAATAATAAAACAAACGTTTCTGGAAAATTTTTTCCATTTTACAAGCTTGATATATATATTGCGTTAATCTTTTTTATGTATAATAAAGTAATACAAAATAATTTTTTAACATAAATATATATTTGCCCCTAAAAACTTAATAAAAATTTAAATTATCTTTGTCTGTAGAATATCTATGTAAATATATAATAGTTTCTAAATGATATACAATGTTATATTTCTCATCATAATTGAGTGTTACATGTCGTATTATATAAATAAACTTTTATAATTGTGTAGAATGGGTTTTCGAGAAAGCTTCGATCAAAGTCAAATATTAACATTTTACATTGAGATTTCCTTTATATTAGTTTATATCTACACTTATATAATTAAATATAATATATATCTAAATTTTTGCAGGAGATTCTCTTTGTTAAAAGAAAACAGCAGACAATCAGAAAAAAAAAGTTGGTGTATTATGCTATTTTTGCGTACGGATGTTCGTTTGTACTTGCAATTGTTTGTGTCATCGTTGTGCATTATGTTTCCGAGTATTTGCCATATATTTTGAGACCAGAATTCAAAATAAGATTTTGCTGGTACTCTGCGAATCGTACGTCTCAAATAACTTTATTAAATGCTACGCTTTTTAAAAATATGTAATAGTATATAAGATATCATACTTACAGATTTGAAAGCACTTGCATTGTATTATTACTGGATCAAAACTGTCTGTATTATTAGTAGCATTTGCTTATCCATCTGTGCGGCAAGGAACATTAAACGTTACGAAGAGGATACAAACTTCAGTCTAACAGATTCGGAAAGCAAGCAATTTAATGACAATAAGAAATGGTGTGTATTCTCACATTTTGCGTCACTTTGTGATAATTTTTTATTATGTTAATGAGATTTCTGCAGATATATTTTTGTCAATATCTCTGCCGACATCACATGCTTGCTTGATTCGCATTCCTGGTAAAAGGGGGAGAAAATTATATTGCAAAAGATATATATATATATATATATATATATACTGTGCTTATACTTTTTTTTTACATTTTCTATTGTGTAATAAATCTATAGAGAAAAAAAAAACATGTATTTCTGTAACTTGCATTGAGTCTTTTTTAAAAAATCTGTAATACTCGAAATGTCGTAAGGAGACAATATAAATAAATATATATTTATTACATTAAAAAATTACATTTTTGAAATATTTCTATAAAATCTTTTTCTCATTTCCTCCTTTTAAGAATTGCAATTGATTCCATCATTTTTCAACTTAATAATTTGGTAGATAGAATTTATTATTTTTATTGAAAAATGACCAAATATTAATATATACTTGTTTGCAGGTTAAATCTATATATAAAGTTATTTACCGTGTTGTTTATCATTATGGGTATAAATTGCTTTATGTATACAATTTCAAAGTTGTTATTACCAACACAATTATATAAATATAGTTATTACACTGAAATTGTTAGAGCCTTGTTAGATGTAGTACAAAATTCTTCATGTTTATCATATTTGTATGGAAGAAGAAAATCAAGTTGATGTTACTGAAACGATTCGGATTCAAAACGAATGCATCGACTAACACATCGAATATCACATTTGAGGTATCTATGCAGGAAATGTCGAACTCTTGCGGAGAAGAAAACTGTCACACAAGATTCATCTAATAGGATTGAATTCTAATGTTGTCAGTGTGTAAAGAAAAGAGTTTTATAAAATCAAAAATCAACAATTAATTATTAATCGCAATTTAATATAATCTTATAATTAAAATTAAAAGTAAATTTACAATTTAAATTTATATTTTACGTATAATGTATAGGTTTCTTCGAAGAATTTTATTTCAAATTGAACATGGAAAATTTGTCTTATTGGTGCATATAATTAAATCAAATTAATGGAATTACTAGAATTAAATTTTGTAAACGTTTTTCTTCAAAAAATAATTTTGTATAAAAGCTATACAATATATATATATATATATATATATATATATATAGTGCTATAATATTATAAAAAATAATTCTGATTGAAATAAAAATATGTTATATATTTATAAATATAACCCAGTCAGAAATGTAACCTTGATTCAAGGTTGATTCAACGTCGATATGGTTGACAGCTAGTTGAGTCGATAAGAAAGTTGATATTACTGCAATATCAATCATCCAATCAGATGAAGTGCAACGTTGATTCAACGTTGATCTCTTTAACCGAAGTCTAACTCGTTATGAACCAATCCTGATTAGGTTTAACGATTTAAGTTTCGGTTATTAAAGTGAGTTGTGGAATCTGGCCTAAATGATTCAATTTATAATCGCTTAAAAAATTCTTGCGGGCCCGTGATTGAACAGCGCGTCAGAAAAGCTATAACACACCTTTCACATTGCTTGATTCGGCAATTGGTAAAATCTTTCGATGTGTGTGTTATACCCTTAAGTTGCGTTGCTACGATCGTAGATCGGGGGTAATGTATGATATATATGTATGACCATCCGTTAGAGTGAATGCGCACGTTGCGGATATTGCTTTTATGTTACAAGTGTATTATCGCATTTTTAATTATCACAATGGATATTGACGTTACTAAGCGGGTAAGTACTATTTTTCTTACACTTGATTGTTATTATTTTTATATAAAATAATAATAGGATACAAAATATAGGCGCGCGGTTATTAAGTGTTTGTGACAACGTAACCTATAATAAACATTTTCTGTATTTTGATTTAGAGTTTTTATATTTAAATTTTTTAATTCTGTACGTTGCTTTCCACGTATTTGTCAGATAAAGTGTGTAAAAAAGTATTTTTGCTTTGAATAATAAAAGGTAGCAGTTGGATATATATAATCAGTTCTATTCTATTGTTTCTATAAACAAAGAAAATAGTTTTATACATTTTTTTATCACATGTCAATTATTTCATTTTTTGTTTATATATATAGTGTTATAAACGTAGTTGGAAGGAAAGAGCTGAGACCATAGTTATAAAAAGGTTGAAAGTTAAAGAGCGACAAGATTATATTTTAAAAAGAGTTAATAAATTATTAGAATCAAAATGTAGACTCAAGTGCAATAGTTTAAGCAACAGCAATTTGTCAATTTCAAGAGACTCTGAAGAAGAAAATTTGCAACTTAATGAATTAATAGATTTAAATCATTATTCTCAAAGTGAACTTGAGATTCAAGAAGATATAGCTTTCGAAAGACTTTCTAATGTCATGAGTTTTGATGAAAATATAGATAAAAGTGAAAATAGAGATGAAAATGAATGTATAGATGAGAGTGAAAATAGAGATGAAAATGAAAATATAAATGAGTGCAAAGGTATAGATGAGAGTGAAAATACAGATGAAAGTATATATGAAAGTGAAAATACGAATAAAAGTGAAAATGGAGATGAAAATGTTAATACAGTTTTTGAAAATAATCAGCAAAAGGAAAATTATGTAATATTAGCTTTACGTCAATGGGCTTTATCAGGTGGTGTTATTTCTATGTCAAAAATAGATGAATTACTTGCAAAACTTCAACCTGTATTTAATAATCTGCCTAAATGTTATAAAACTTTATTGAAAATTGATGACGATATACATATAACTCACTTTGAAAATAGAGGACAATTTTGGTATCGAGGAATTAAAAATTATTTGGATGGGCTTAATTTAAAAAAGTACTTGCAAGTAAAACAAAAAATTGAAATAGATATTAATACTGACGGACTCCCTCTTTTTCGAAGTTCAAAGAAAAATTTTGGCCAATATTAGGACATCTCGTAGGAACTAAAAATTATCCATTCATTATTGCTATTTATTTTGGGAATTCTGATCCAAATAATGTGAAAGAGTTTTTGCAAGATTTTGTAACTGAAGTTGATAATCTAATTTCTAATGGTTATGTACGATATGGAAAAACTTTTATTTTTTTAATTAGACATTATATTCTTGATGCTCCAGCTAGAGAATTAATAAAATGTTGTATAGGCCATAATGGATATGCTTCATGTGAAAAATGTACAGTATGGGGAGAACGATTAGATTATAGGCAAACGTATATTGATTTACATGCTCCTTTAAGAACTGACGAAAGTTTTAAAAATCAAATGCAACCTCGCCATCATAAAGGAGTATCACCTCTTCTTCAACTTAATACCAAAATGGTCTCTCAGTTTCGATTAGAGCCTATGCATTTGGTATATGAAGGTGTGTTTAAGAGATTATTAGAAGCATGGAAGAATTGGATAAGTCCATGGAAACTACACTGGACTGTTGTAAACAGAATATCTGATAGGCTGATTCTGTTAGCCCCTTCTTGTCCTCAGGACTTTGCTCGAAAACCCAGATCTTTACATGAATTATCATTTTACAAAGCAACGGAATTCCGTCGTTTATGTTTATACGATGGCATAGCAGCTTTTGCTTCACATCCTGATATAAATATTTATAAGCACTTTCTATTATTGCATTGTGGAATTTATATTCTTACAAGTCCCATTCTTTATAAAAGTTTTAACGAGTATGCAAATACTCTACTCAGAACTTTTATCCAACATTCTATCACATTATTTAGAAAATTATTTGTTGTATATAATGTTCACTCTCTTTGCCATTTGGCACAAGAATGTATTGATCATGGTTGTTTAGATACATTTAGTGCCTTTCGTTATGAAAACAAATTAAAAATGATTAAAAGTAACCTCAAATCTGGTTTTAAACCCATTCAACAAGCAGCAAAACGTGAGCTAGAACAAAGTAAGAAAAACGTTGTACTTTTAGATTCTGATATAAATAACATTATTTTTTCAAAAAAACATAGAAATATCAATGAAAATATTTATGGTGAACAGTTTTAAAAAAATTTCAGTAAATGATGTTATTTTAAAGTAAATAATAGAGATTCATGCTTCAAAACAAGTGAAGGTAAAATTGGAGTCCTGAGAAATGTCATTCGCAATCAGGATAATATAATTTTTGTAAATATTTTTAAAAATATTACAATTTTATACATATCCTTTGATTCGTTCTGTAATTGTTAAAGTAATTTAAGTGAAAATTTTGGTATTTTCTATAAATAATATATCTATTACATATTCCTATAAAAGATAATGTTTGCATACCTTTACTTCATACTATGTCCTTACAAATAGTTTTGATATATTATGTCGTCTATATTGTGTATCAATTGTTTTGTATATGAATCTTTTATGTAAATTGTTAGAAAAAGTTTTATTGGGATCAAAATCATTATTTTTTCAGTTTGTCGTTTTGAAATTTATAAATGAAGATGTTGATTGCGACGAGGAAGACGATTCTTTATTTGAAGTTGGTCTTATTAAATGGCTAAAACAATTAGATGAAGAAACAAATGCAAAAATTTCTTGGCCTCCTAAATCTGAGCAGAGTACTGCAATTAAAAAAGAAATAGATGCACTTCCTTCATGGCCGATATATAATGTTACTGTTTTAAAATGTTATGGTATGTTGTTTCTTATTGCATATTTTTTGCTTATAAAAAGTTAATTGTCTTTTTAATTGTATTTCCTAGATACACTTTTGGCTGCACGAAATGCACGAAATGGATATATTATGTCGTCTAATTATGAAACAGAGTGTGAATTTGGTCGTGGTAAACGTAAAAAAATTAAGCGGCAGTTTGCATGTGATGAATCTCTCTCGACAAAAGTGACAAAAAAGAAGAAATTTAAAAATATTTTAACTTCTGATGATTCAGATTTTGATAGAGATGATAGTGCTATAAAAAAATATAAATTTAAACATGCTCCTTCTCCGCCATTTATCTTGTTTCGATCAGAAAATAATAAAGTAAAACAATATCAAAACAATATTATCACAGATAGCAAAACAAAAAAATTTGAAAGATTACAGAAAAATAAACAATTAGAAAAAAAAAATGACGCAATGTTGACATTTTCTAAAAATCATAAATCTAAAAAGGATCTCTTACTTACAAAAATATGTCAAGCAAGGAAGGTAACTTCAGTTACGGATAACAAAACAAAAATCATAGAGATTGCAAGAGAAAAACAGAAATGTTTAATAGAAGATAATGTAAGTATTTCTATACGTCGCACATGCAATGTGATGTAAGTCATAATTTTATTGGTATAAATAAAGTCTTGAAATGTTTTCATGTGTAAAGATGGATTCTGATAATGCTACAGAAGAAAATATTGATCCTAATATTCCACGAGAGGACGATTTTTCAATGAAAGTTCAGGATATCAAATAAAGATGTATCTCCAAGTACAAGTGCAAGATCGATAAATATAGAGACACCAGGTACATCAAAAGATTACTGTATTTATGAAGCAAATATATCTGATGAAAAATCATCATCTTCAATATGCACTTCTCCATCAGAATTACGTCAAAAGAGTCCAGTTACTTCACATGTGACAGCTGTAACTACACCGAGTTCATCTTGTAGATCAAGTAACATATATATCTCTAAAAACTCACCTTTAAAAAAAGGTAAAAAAAGGCGACCAGTTAAGGGCACGCCATTAACAAAAATTATCCATTGCAAACCCATGTAGAATCCTATCCTATTGCAAACCCATGTAGAATCCTATGAAAAATTAATCATTGCAAACCCATGTAGAATCCTAGGCAAAATTAACCATTGCAAACCCATGTAGAATCGTACCCATTGCAAACCTATGTAGAATCCTATGAAAAATTAACCATTGCAAACTCATGTAGAATCCTATGAAAAATTAACCATTGCAAACCCATGTAGAATTGTATTAAAAATTATCCATTGCAAACTTATGTAGAATCCTACATTGCAAACCCATGTACAATAGAATTGTATGAAAAATTATCGATTATAAACCCATGTACAATCGTAACAAAGTAATGAAATAAAAAAAATAAAAAAATGTAGAATCGTACCATAAAAAAACTTATCTTTTAAAAAAAAAGATAAACAAGATGCCAAGTCCATGCGCCATGTGAAAAAGAAATAAAAAAATTTTAGTTAAAAAAACTGGGCGCGCTGCTAAGTTTCAAAATTACAATGCACCTTAAAGTAACATTAATTAATTTAAACACAAAACATATTTTAACTGTAATGAGTTTAAAAGTAACAATTTAATTTTAATATTGTTAGAATATTATTTAGCAGCGCTCCCAGTTTTTTTAACTAAAATTTTTTTATTTCTTTTTCACATGGCGCATGGACTTGGCATCTTGTTTATCTTTTTTTTAAAAGATAAGTTTTTTTATGGTACGATTCTACATTTTTTTATTTTTTTTATTTCATTACTTTTTTACGATTGTACATGGGTTTATAATCGATAATTTTTCATACAATTCTATTGTACATGGGTTTGCAATGTAGGATTCTACATAAGTTTGCAATGGATAATTTTTAATACAATTCTACATGGGTTTGCAATGGTTAATTTTTCATAGGATTCTACATGAGTTTGCAATGGTTAATTTTTCATAGGATTCTACATAGGTTTGCAATGGGTACGATTCTACATGGGTTTGCAATGGTTAATTTTGCCTAGGATTCTACATGGGTTTGCAATGATTAATTTTTCATAGGATTCTACATGGGTTTGCAATAGGATAGGATTCTACATGGGTTTGCAATGGATAATTTTTGTTAATGGCGTGCCCTTAACTGGTCGCCTTTTTTTACCTTTTTTTAAGGTGAGTTTTTAGAGATTATATCATTCATTTTTGTATATTTTTATGACCGGAATAGAACAATTATTAAACATGTTTATCTAAACTTCTTTGCTTAAAATGATGTGTACAATCATATCCTAGAATCCTGATCATTCCTCCTAAAGCACCCTATTTATATAAATTTACCCATATGTGTGTGTGTGTGTGTGTGTGTGTGTGTGTACTAATGTCGAGCATTTTTTATACATTTTCTATTAAATTTAGATAAAAGTTGCAGGATTTCGAAAAAGAAAAAGTTGACACAGACTTTTTCCTAAACGGCGATTTTCAAGGTTATTTAAAGGTCACTTATATTTTCAAAATAGAATTACCTTAATTTTTCTCATATAAATCGATTCCTCGCAATATTTACTATAAAAAGTTGTAAAGGTATAATTTTTACATAATCTTACATAAACTTCGAAATATTACAAATATTTTATTTTATGAAATATTTCAGTTTATGTAAAATTATGTTAACTATCTTTTAAATTATTCACTTTTAGCCATCTTACCCTTACAACCTTTTATAGTGAATATTGCAACAAATTGGTTTATATATAAATATATATAACATCAGTTATTATTAATTGATGTTTACATTTATTTTTAGACTTACTAGAGCTCAAATGCTCCACATTTTTTGCAAAAACTGTTTATTCTACAGATTTCAAATATGCTTTTAAATGATGATTGAATATTTCCTTTTTTTAATTATTTTTATTATTATTTTTCAATCTCAATCAACTTTTATAACTTTATGCCAGCACGATACAAATACATGTGTCTTTATTTTTTTTATTATTTTCATTATTATTTTTCAATCTCAATCAACTTCTATAACCTTATGCCAGCAGGATACAAATACATGTATGTCTTTATTATTGTATCAACTCTTGTCTTTTCCATGTAACCATGTCTTCATAGTTTGAATTATCCCTTCATCTTCTCAATCTTTCGCAGAGATTTAATTAATTAAATACACTTCACACGAAATAAAGTTTGCTGGAAGATATACAGCAAACGATAACTGTAAAAACATGATTACGTGGAAAGAACAAGAGTTGGTACAGTAAAGGCAAGTAAGTAAGTACATGTAATGTATCGTATTGGCATAACGCTATATCCGCGGAGCAGATAATGTGGCTGTAGAGGTAGTCTGCAGTGCAGCTAATGTGGACGTAGATGTTGATTGAGATAATTGTCTAATATAAAATAGAATTTAAAAATTTAGTTTAAAAAGCTGTTGCATATATAAATAAAGTTTATTTTTTCTAAATTTGGAATATGTTTAATTAATTAATTTTTTAAGTCTATGTTTAATAAATTTTTAAGTCTGTATTCAATAATTTTATTCATTTGATAAATACATGTATGTCTTTATTTTGATATGTTTAATATAATTAGAAATTCATTATTAATTAGATATGTAAACTATAAATTCATATATAATATTTGAAAATATATGTGAATATTTAAATTTTTATCTTCTCCTTCCTCTCCTTCAATCTCTTTAATATCAATATGTGTATGTGTGTACACGCGCGCACATTTGTACGTATTTATTTAATTATTGGATAGTTGAGAGTACTTAATTGATAAAAAATTATGACAATAATAATCCTTGTTTTTTTTTCTTATTATTTACTCAGATTTTTTTGTCTATCTTATAAGATAAACACTTTAGAGATTGAATATTTCAAGTAAACTAATTGTAAGTAAATTTCACATTAATGCATATAGATGTTTAATCATGAATGTACTAAATAAGTACACAAGACGAACAGTGAGTGAGTGAGTGAGAATGAGAGAGTGTGTGTGTGTGTGCGTGTGTGTGTGAGAAAGAGAGAGAGAGAGAGAGAGAGAGAGAGAGAGAGAGAGAGAGAGAGAGTTAGCGCACGCTGCCGATCATGAATGTACTAAATAAGTACACAAGACGAACAGTGAGTGAGTGAGTGAGAATGAGAGTGTGTGTGTGTGTGCGTGTGTGTGTGAGAAAGAGAGAGAGAGAGAGAGAGAGAGAGAGAGAGAGAGAGAGAGAGAGAGAGAGAGAGAGAGTTAGCCAACATAACCCCGCACGCTGCCGATATGGCGGAGCGCCACTATCGCCATCTGTTGTAAAACGTGCGAGATGGACAAAATTACCACTACATGCATCTTGCATGTGTTGTGTACGTGTGATATATGTGTGCGCATGTGTTGTATACGTGTGAATACGTGTAGCACGATACTACTATGTATGCGTGGTCGATGATGATAATGATGATGATAATGATGATAATGATGATATTGATGACGGGGACGTTTCTTAATAGAAATTTTTCATATTTCGACTTTGCATTTATATATCTCTGCTTACAAATCACGTAGAGCAGAAATAAAGACACTTTTATTATATAATTCGAACTCAATCTATCGATTAAGTCTAGTATAAACTCGATTGCTTCAGCCATTATTGAGGATTCGAAATATTATAAAGACTCAAATGTCCGACTCGCGTTAAGATACACGGTGTCTCCGCTACGCCCTTAACTGGTCGCGAGACACTACCGTGTCTCTTGATGACTTTGTACCTTTTAATTTTTTCTAAAGCATCAAATATTACGTTTTGATTTCTTACAGGTAGTGTATTAGATGTGTCTAAAGCGACCTTTGATATGAAAGCTTTTGAAAAAAAGATGTATTCGTTAAATTAAGAAATTAGTAGCAAATTAGATATGATTACTATGAATTTATGCAGATTAAATCGCTTTCTTCTACCACATGAGAAAAGAATAATAAGACCAGCAGATCTTCCAGCACTTCCATTGACAACAGAGGAAGAATTAGAAAAATTTGAAAAATATTTAACGAAAGATGATAATGCTGGTGCAACTGTAAATAAATATTTATCGCTTTTATTATATATATATATATGTATATTTGTTTTTAATATTTATTAATATTTAATTTTCTTTGCTTAAATTTTGATTTTTTCCAGATTTGTTACATGAGTCAAATTATTGGTCCTAAAGACAATATTAAGGAAGCTACATATAAAGTACTAAGGAAACTTATTTCAAACACATTGGCAGCAGACTTTACTTTAAAAAGTGGTAAACATTTATCCAAAAAATGTTTCGAAAAGCTGATGCTGTATGAAGTTGTTCAAGGTAAGTAAACTTATATTTATTTCCAACTAAGAATCGTTTCAAATAAGAGAATAATATAAATATAAATTAATTAATAAAAATAAAATAAAAATTTAATATAATAAAATAATTTAAAAAATTTAATAAAATTTAATAAAATATAAAAATTATTGCATTTTTAGGTGCCATTTTAGACAAAAGGCCAGAAACAGAAATCCCAGAGATTGATGCAGCTACTTCACTGTGGCTAAAGCAAGCACCTTGGCGTCGCCAAGATGACGGCAGTATGGGGAAAAGAATAAAAAAATAAGATTATTTTTAGAATTATTTTTGTGTTTCTTTTGTTTTAAAATTTGACGATTTTTTTATTGTCATTTGACGATTTTTATAGCATATTTATGGCTGAACTATGCTCTGCTCTATATTTAAAACAACAAAATGTCTGCGACAAAAATATCTATTTTTTTATGCGTAACGTGAAATCAATTTCAGTTTTATTTTTTTTCTAATTTTATGCGATTGCGAAAAATGATTTATACTTTCGATTGTTTTGAAAAAAAAAATGGAATTTTATTTTGTCGCTATATTAATATAATATAAGAGACTTTTTCTTTTTTTTTGTTTACAAGCATCAGGACTTGTGTGTGCAATATTACTTTCGTTATCAAATTTATAAGTTTTCAGTACTTATTATATGTGTAAAAGTTAGTAAAACACGTAGCTGTTCTGCAATTATTTGTGATTTTTTGTTAAACGGTATACTAAACGCTTTATTCTTATAATATGTTAAAATTTGAAATAGTTTACAGATATAACGCATTGTTAATAAATATATATTTTATAATGCAATGTAGTTTAATTATATTCAACTTTGTATAATAATAAATAAAAGAAAAATAAGATTTGCACTTTTTGTTTTTTAGTATTTTTACCTTAAAAATAATAAATAATAAAGTATACTATTATATATATATATATATATACCATCAAATTTCGACGTTGAAACGACGTTGAAATAATAATTGAAAATTGGTTGATATTTGGTACGAGATCGACGTCGAATCGATCAAAATTTTGACTATACTTCGACATCAGATTTCAACGTTGATTCGACGTCGAGTCAACTATACATTTCTGACTGGGAAGTATATAAAAAGAAATTAAAATTTGTTTTAAACTGCTGACATGGTCCAAACAAATAAATTACGAAAATTTTCAATTGCGACTGTTATGTCTAATTATTATTTGGTTTTATTGTTTGGTAAAATTGAATTTTTTGTATATAGGTATTTAGTGTAAATAAGCTATGTCAAAAACGCGTTTTTCATATATACATATACACACACATTTGATGCTAAGAACATTTTATAATAATATATTATGCATTTAAGAATAAATTCTCGAATTTGAATATAAATATTTCTGCATTATAAAATGCAAAATATTTAATAGTAATTATGTATATAAAATATTTGATATGTAAGAAACAATTATAAATTTATGTTATAAGTTTAAAAATGTAACATAACTTGCACATAAAATACTAAATTAAGAAGAAAAGTGTCGCTTTGTATTTTTACAACAAATTTCAATTTAACATGTACGACTATTATTGCCGATCATATGCAATGAAGGAAGAACATATTTAAATTTCAATAAATTAAATTTCAAGCAAATATAAATATATGTTCGCTAAACAAGTCAAAAGAGCGATGTCGTTACCTCAATTATTGCAATAAGTATTTTTTTCGCTGTAATTGAATAATTGTGATCGAGGCACGCATTTGCTGAGACACTGTCAAGACTTCTTAGGAATTGTATCTCAATTGATGGCTCACGCATAATTATTTAATTGTAGCGCTAAATTCATTTTCGCAATAATCCACATCGCGTTCGGCTTTGTCAGCCTACATATTTATATTTGTTTTATATTAGAGCCGAATATAATTCATAATTGTTATTAAATTTCAAGCATTACAGGAACACTACCAGAAATGTTCTTAATCTCTACTTTTAGTTTTTCTACGTAATTATCACTTACAAGGGCAACACCAGACATCGTTCCCTCCGATTTGGCCGAATCTAAAATATGTTGTATATGTTCACACTAATTCATAGTAAAAAAACACAACCCAACTCTCAAGCATTTTTGAAAAAAATGTAACTCTTTTAATCTTACGTAAAAATAAAACTAAAAAAATTTTTTTTAGAAAAAGGTGAAAGAGCGCCTAGATCAACGATATGTATAAAAGCGTAATAAAAAAAACAGTATGTTTCAAAGTATTGCGTAAACTTGTGTTGTCAAATTAATACTTCTAAAAAAATAATGAAATCAAAAAGTTGCGCCAAACAAAGTTATATTCCAAAAAATTACAAATCAAAAACTTATACAAAAATTAAAAATTTTTAATTTTTATTATTAATAATAAAAATTTAAAAAATAAAAATTTTAGTTAAAAAACTTGACGCTACTTTTCAAAATTGCTAGAATGTATTTATCTGTAATACATCTTAGAGTAACAAATAATTAATTTACTGTAATAAAATTATAATACATAATATTTTTTTTTAAATTGCTTGCATCAATAAGCGTGATTTTATACTAGCTTATCTATATATGATGATTCAATGATGACAGAACTTGGTAAACGTGTTTTCCTTCCCGAAGCAGAATGTATGTATATCTGTGAGAGGAAAATCTATATTTATCATTTAAACATGAGAAGTATATTATTCGACGTAATATTGTCAGCAATTATAAAGCGTAATAATTATACATCGCACACACAATTATCGGAAAGCGTTTGCAAACAAAAAATTCTATAATTTGCGCAACGATTTTATAAAATGGTCGTAATCTTTTGATCTTATAGTCAGAATCTCATTAGTTTGTTGCAATATCAGCTTACTTTATTCACTGCAACATTTAACACAGAAAATTCAAATTAAAAAAGAACAGAAAACAGAAATTTGCAAGCATCTAGTAACTATTTTAACAGTTACTTTATTAGTTACTTTTTTGGAAACATCCGCTAAAAGTATCGTTTAAGTTTGGTAGCCGTTATATTATTAAATTAAATTTTGATAACAGTAGCATATGGATCTTTATATGATTTAATCTTTTACCTAAAATTTTCATTTGTGTACATAAAATAATATAACACATAATTAAAATCGACCAATCACAGTCAAATATTAAAAAAAATTCTTAAATGTAATAATTGATCGATTTGCTTCAAGAATTTTTTTAAATACTTGACTGTAATTGTGCATAAAATGTAAGCTCCTTATATTTAAAATAATGTATAATTATTTTTAAAAAGTAACTGAAAAGTAACGACTCGTTACTTTTTGAGTAACTGTAACTGTAATGAGTTATTTTTTAAAATCAGTAACTTGTAACTGTAACTAGTTACTTTTTCAATAAAATAACTGTAACTGTAACTAATTATTTTTACAAAGTAACTTTCCCAACCCTGGTTTTTTATTATGTTTAATTAATATGATTGATAAGACGCAAGTGAGCGCTCGAAACGTCTCATCTATGTAATAAATAATAGAAATTTCATGATTTAAACATATCTTTGTATTATTGTCATCTAATAACCACTCGTCTAAAACACCTTATATACCTATTGTTTATTTATTAATATTGTTACGTCCCTGATCTTTCATCCCCTGAATATCATCCCTTGTGTCGTGGAGCTTCATCGTTAAGGGGGGTTGTTTATTGACAACCGCCCGGTGGTTGTTTTCAGGCTCCATGACAATTTTGGTCTGGCTGTCATCTCGTACGGACGTGACTTGACCAGAGAGCAATCTTCTTTCTTTCGCGTGTACATTAGTCATTGTATTTCATCATTGTATAAAGGATCATTTCTTCATAAGAGAGTGTAATTTTACGTAAAAATGGATCTAAAAAAGATCTTTTTTTAGAAAAATGTAAAAAAGCGCCAAATTCAAAAAAGTAAAATAGAAAAAATAGTATGTTTCAAAGTACTGTAAACTTATGTTGTAAAATTAATATTTCTAAAAAAATATTGAAATCAGAAATTAGAAATTAATACAAAATAAAATATATAAAAAATTTTAGTTAAAAATCTTGGCGCTATACTTTCAAAATTGCTGCGATGTATTCTATTTGTAATATATCTTAGAGTAACAAATCATTCATTTACTGCTATAAAATTTTAATATATAATAAATATTTTTTTAATTACTTGCATTAAGCGTGATTTTACACTAGCTTTTTTATATTATGTACGATGATTATATATTATATACGATATTTTATATTGTATACGATGATTCGACGATAATAGTACTCGCTGAACGTATTTTCTTTTTTGAAGCAGAATGTGCATGTATTTTTGTGAGAAGAAAATCTACATCTATCATTAAATAATGCAAAGTATATTTTTCAACGTAACATATTCAGCAATTATGAAGCATAATAATTATACATCGCATACACAATTATAAAAAAGCGTGTGCAAACAACAAGAAATCTAAAAAAATTTGCGCAACAATCTCAAGAGATGGTCGTAATCTCATTATCTCATTGTCAGAATCTCATTAATTTGTTGGAATATCAGCTAATTGGAATCAGTTTTAATCATTGCAACACTTAGCATTGAAAATTCAAATTAAAAAAAGAAACAGAAAACAAAAATCTGCAAACATATTAACCATTTTATAGTCTCATTTTTTGTTTATCAATTTCATATTGTCATTATTTATATTCTAATCTTATATTTTTGTAATTTTATACAATTAGATTCAACATTATGTTTAACATATGCGCACAACGAGAATCGAGACAGTCAATCACGGAAAAGCGACAACAGTGTCAATAACATGCATTTTTTAAAAGGGCAAATTCCATGCTGGATTGATCAAACTAACGTCAAAAGTTCCAACATATGTTCTTTGGTTTTCTTGCATAATTAAGAATAATAGATGTATATATGATTTTATAATAGTAGACAAAACTGTGTGTGTGTGTTTCCTCGCAAAGTTATCCACAACTCGTCATGCTCGGTAGTTTCATTTCTTCTCTTGCACAGACACGTATTAACTTATGCAATATTGTCTTCTTTCAAGGAAGAAACGTCAAAAACGAATACAGTGATACATTATATGCAGTTTACTAAATTAGTGTGATAATTAAAAATTAACAACGCAATTGTCTAGATTTACAGTGTTAGTATAAAATCAGATCAACATTTTTAAAATTTTATAAAAAAAAAAACAAAAAGAAATTATTCAATTCGATTATATGTGTACATTACGCACTTGAC